CGTTGCTGTTGCTGTAACTGACCCTCAGTGAATCAGTGCGGTGCGTACCTTATGTACATACGAGATAAGACAGCGATCAGGGCCTCGGGACTCGTGCTCAGATCACGACAAGGTCCAGGTCAGTTCTTCGGTGGAGCGCGCAGCTGACAAGTGTAAATTGATACGGAGCTGGGCGGTACCAACAAGTTGTAACTACAAGAAAGAAGCTGGGGTCACCACCAGTGGAAGACAATTAGGGGTGGAAGTTTTCTTTCTCAAGAAAGTTCACGATCCATCCCCCCTTCTTTGGACGTTCTCCCAGCCTCTAGGACCGTAAGCACCAAAGTCTCCGCCGTATAGCCAGGTAAAGTCGGAGCAACATGGAACTGGGCCTGTCTCCGGCCCGTGGGGGACCATCGTTCGGGTTACAGATCCACGGCTTGCGTTTTATGCGGACCATTAAAACAGGTAGCCAGGCCTTAACACGGACGAGATATCTAAAGTCGCTGTGTGCTCCGGCCCCGAAGAGGGCCAGCCAGGTTCGTGCCAGCGTCACCCAAACTGCCAGATTCTCAGATTCTCCTGGTATCCAGAGCGGCGGGTCAAAGCGCTCTTAGGGATGTGGCGCTTTTCAGACAATGGCCGTGGTGCAAGTCGGGCCGCGTCTGCTGTGAATGACAGGCGGAGTTCGAGGCTTCAGCAAAATGGGACGGCTTATTCAAACGATGATGCGTATGGCTAGCTTTGGTGGATATGCAGGCACGTCCAGTTCCAGGCCACAGGAGGCAGATTGACGTGCTGTGCTTCTGGAAGTGAAGGAGCAGATTTCAATATATCTGGTACATTTACGGAGTAGATAAGTAAGCATACATCCATGGGTTCGAGGAAGCAAACCGCGCCCACCAACAGACAGCTGTTGGTAAATTGGTACCTACTAGTCCCTTTTAGTTTGTCTCTCTGGAGAGATCCCGACGGGTGTTTGCGGTCCATCAAACACCTTGTTTAAATAGAGTGAGCAGCTCCCACTTTCGCAAAGATTGTACGCCATTTGTTGATGAGGCCCATTCGTTAGCGCGGCTGGCGCTTCGTTGATGTCCGGCGACAGAGTGTATGGATACTTTGCAGTTTGCACTATCTCGTGCCAAGCACCAACAGCTTTGCTTGCAACAGGCGAAAGTCATAGGCAATTAGATCGCCGTTCATGTATCCGTAGACCAAGACAGCATCGGGCTGGGTCGCGGGGCTTTCGGCGTGTTCTGCTTCTTCTGCCCTCTGTCGTGATCCATTTCCCGTAGCCTCCAGTCGTTCCGCAACCCGGCCTACGCAGTACTTGATTTGAGATCCTTTTTCTCCGCCGCGGAACCAAGGAGGCCCCTGATAGAAGAACATGCGAAACCGCTACGGATGAATCGCGTCGCGGAAGATACTGAACAGAGACTTGGTGCCATGAGACCAAGTCCCCGCCGCGGCAAGCCGCCCACTTCGGGGCCCGGGGCCTAGCGTGGATGCCATGGTTTCCTCGCACTATACGCCTGCTAAGGCCCGATGGCTCGCAGCTGGCTGACAGGCGTAGCGCTTGTGCTAGAGTATGTGCGACAGCTATCGCTAACACAGTGATGGTGAAAAATGTCAGTATTCTTATATTGAGGTACCGCGTCTTGCTTGCACCGGCGGGACCAGCCAGCAGTGCAGCAACCCACACGGATCTGTCCCCTCGTCAAACACTCAAGCCTCTCTGTTTGTGTGGGATGTGCTGCAGGTGCGTCGATCCGGGTTCGTTGGTCGTGGACACCCCTTCAGCCAACCAGTCGAGGAGCGACCAGGAGCTGTCGAGTTATCCCGTCCCAGACTCCAGGGACGACCCGTGCAAGGAGAGCGTGTCTTGGGGGGATCAGAGATGGGGCTTGAGCGCTTCGGCAGATGATCTTTCTTGAGCTTGAATTCGTCATCCATCTGGAGAAGGCCCCTGGAGGGTTGCATTGTGTGCGCGTTATTTTGCAGGATGGCTGGCACGGCTGATTGGAACAGTGGAAAGTTGGTATGTACGCCGCACGTTGGGTAACTTGGGTTCTCACGCCCGCTCGGATGCCTTTTCCCTCGGTGATTTGCGGTTGCGATGGAGTGCCCTCGAAAGTGCTATATGGAGACGGGTCAAAGTCATGATTCGTTGTCGGAGGACATGGCACATGGTAACATGGACCTTCGTATCGGAAGGTCTGCCCAGCATGCTATGCGTGGAATTGCATAATCGTATCGAGCTGATGTTTAATGATCTCCTTGGCCAAAGAACAGGCGGATCAGCAGAGTGCTATTCCGTCCAAACTTTTGAGGCGTTCCTACCATTCAAAAAAAAATTACCGTACTGCCGGTCCGTCCACCATGTACCCCGTACGACACACCTCATTCGCTTGTCAGGCGAAAAGAAAGTATCTGTGAGCGGCGCGCCGGAGTACAGATGAGGGCGAAAGTGGGCGCGCCCCAAGAAGAGCGAGACGTGAAGGGTTTGGCGGACGGTAAGACGATGCCAGCACTGACAAAGAGGCTTCAGACCGAGGACGACAATCGTGACCCAAAGCAGGTAGCTGTCATCGTTTTAGGCCCAATAAACCAGGGAACTGGTGAAATCGCCAATCATCCCGTGGGACTGTGTTGAGGAAGAGGCGACAGAATTTCCAAACGAGACTGGCCAATTTCTTTCGAGGGCAGTTGGTACTCAGCGGCGCCAGCTGTGATTGTCATTGGCTGTAAGCCGCTGGTCTCCACCAGCCAAAGGTGGAGACCCAATATTAGGAGAACGACCAGGAAGGTCCAGATTTTGGCAGGGGTCTTTCTGGATTTGACCGGGGGTTCCTCCCTCATCCACTTCTTCTTTGGAAGGAGAGGCCCGTGCGTGTGATGGATGGGACCTGGCGAGAACATGCCTTCCTTACCTTACTCTATACGTACGGAGTACAGCAGAAGAAGACTGCCCCAAAGAAAATGATAAAAGTTGCTTTGGTCACGACTCATCAGTCATCGAGGGGATTGGGCGAACGAACGCCAAAGGATGGAAGGGAAAGAAGGGAGAAAAACAAGGGAAAGGAATTGGAGCCGCTAACACTGCGCCGCATGACGCTAGTATTTCACAAGTGCACGCTAGCTCCTCACATTTTCGCGGGCTTCCACGAGTCGACTTGAATCTCTGGAGTAGTCAAGGAGTCTAGGTCGCCGCTACAACTGCAGCTTCTGCTGGGAGGCTTGACGGCTTGCAATCCCCGGAGCCAACGGCAACGGCAGAGAACAAAGACACGACTCGACGGCTCTCTGACTGGTGTCGAGTGTCAGATGGAGAAAAAAGCTCTTTGCTTCTGCCGATTGGGCTGAACTTGTGAAGCGACTGATTCGACCGACCATCGGATCGTTTTGAGAGGCTTACTTACTGCACGAATTGCAGTAGTTTAGAATTCGGGGTCCTTTGCTGCTGCTGTTGTTTACGAAAGTAACAAGAGTACGGATAAGTAGTGCCCCAATAGATGGCAAATTGCCCGAAGCGGCTTTGTTTCGTTTTGTCTTTTATTGTCTTCCTTTAACCGCTCGTTCCAACGGTTCTTCTGTCTGAGATGCCCGAATCACGCTTGGCTCTTTTGGGGCTTGGTTGGTAAGTACTAATGGGATGGGTTCGTCTTGCTTTCCCCTGTTCCAGCTGCCATGTGTCGCGTTTGCCACCTTCATATCGAGGTTAATGTCACGTTTTCAGCGAGAATCGGGATTTGGGAGCCGAATAAGCTATTGGAAGCCCTAACTGGACTTGCTTGGCTTTTGTCGATCGACTGGACTGGTTCGTTTCCTCGTCGCGGCGCATAGCGGAGCTGGTACGGAGTAATGTCTCAGTACACAAAGGAAAGTAAAGAAAGAGAGAGAAACGGTTTCCACGTCAGGGTCCTCAATTCTTATTGTCTGACGTTTTTGAAATGGTTCTTAGCTTGGGCAGATATCGGCTTCACTTGTCATCCTCTACCGACCTCGATACAATCTTACAGCCGTCCTGCGCATCTGTCTGTACCTTGGATCACGAATAGCGCGAGTGCGAGTAAGGCGAGCCAGGTAGCGCTGTCCAATTCCAAACATAAGGAGCCCAAGGTGCCGTAAGGAAGAGTATCATGGCATGCCCGCCTCCAGCCCGAAATGTAACAGCAGCAACTGCAAGAGTCAAACCCCCGGAACAGTCCCCATTGCCAGAGCCACGCCGCCATGGAGCAACTTCAACTTGACGACCCGTGAAGCTGCCGTCTCCTTACTATGTACAAGAATGGCGTGTGGTTGGCGTGCCCATCACAATGCCCCTCTTGTTCCCAACGTCAGCAGTAACAGCCCTCAGAGTATGTATATCGGGCGGTACTTGGTGTGTACCTTGCAGATATCAAGTTGGAGCCTTCCTTCCAGGAAAGTTGAGCAAATGGTGTGGCCCCTGTCCGCGTGTTCCTGAACCCCACCTCACCTTGTCCTCTGTCGAACAGTGGTACCGCAACACTGCGCTGCATGCCCCCTTGCACACCCGTCCTCTGCCCCATCTGTGTCCCGCCTGTACCTGCGAACGGCTGTTCTCCGTGCTTCTCTCCCCTCACAGTGCTTCCTGATCACCCCGTCTACACAGTAAGGTAGGTACCTCCGCAGTAAGGTAGCCGTGACTTCAGCTCCTGGCAGGCAACTCACTCAGGCTGGCACTATCACTGTTCCCTTAGGCTTCCTTGCTGAGTTGGTTCCCGGTGGTTTCTACTGTAAGATACCTACGGAGTAAGGAGGTACTTGTCAAAATCTGCGGTTGGTTGTATTGAGCTCCCAAAGGACTCGGCGTGGCAAGGTATCTGCCCACGCTGCCCTGCCTCGAGATGCGCTAAGAATACCGGCCAAGGTACATCATTGGAACCTGCATCCAGGAACCTGACTACTGCGTACGCTGCTGCACGTTGGCTGCAGACCTTAATTCCCCGTCCCCCGGTCTGTTGCTCTCAATGGAGAGTCGCTGCTGCATCTCTTGGCCTGTCCGCCCGTGTTTCTGTCCTCGCCCCTGTCTCTGCCCATCTCTTCCATTCTCTGTCTGCTCCCCGCCGTACGCACACACGGCCACACAGTTTGTCCTCTGACCTGCCGTGCCTGTGCCTGCCTTTACACTAAGGTAGGTACTCCGTACTGCTGCTGCTGCTCGACCGTACACTTCCCTTTCCAGCTTCGCGTCGGGTGCTTGGTCCCCCTTTCGCTTCATCTTAGCTCGCCCGCCAGTGGCACACCCTCGTTTTCTCGCCATCTGCCTCTTGTTTCTCCCACACACCCTCTCCTTCGCCCTCACTTCTTCCTCCTCCCAGTCCTCCTATTCAAACACCCCCCCTGGACACCACTCTCCCCTTTTACCTCAGCTGGAACTGCCTCTTCTTGCCTCGTCTCCGATTTCTTCCCCTTCCTCCCTCTCTCCTTTCTCGTTTCTTCTCTCCCCACCTGTCACCGAGCAGTCAGTCAGTCAATCAACCAGTCTGTGCTAGAGCCTCAACTTTCGCTCAACCAGACCAGACAGTTCAAGTTGCTCCTTGAGGCTCCTTCGAATGGCGCCTTTTTGAGCAACTCCTTCGACCGACGACTCCTTGACGAGAGCTTGCTCTCTGGATAGCTTCCTTGCCGTCTTTTGATTCATCCAATCAAGCTAGGCCCCTTTCCTTCGACACGCTGGTCAGCTCGTGTGTGGCCCGGATCATCAACCACCTCGTCACCTTCTCCTTCGCTCTCACGCCCACCTATATAACTTCAACTTAACTTTTCTTCCTTAACGACGACTAATCACCGACGAAATGGCGCCTTCGCTGAACGCACACTCGTCCTTCACCCGGCCCCGGACCGGCGACCGCGATGGTCGACCTACCACCCGTGATCAGGGAGACAACAACCTCATCATCCCGAGCCGTACTTCCTCCCTTCACTCGCGCATCACCCAGCCGATTCCCTCGACCATGAATGCGAAGCCCCAGCAGCGCACCCCAAAGACGCTTACTCACGCCTACATGGTATGCGGTGTTGGCAGAGAACCTTCGCAATGGGTCAAGGCTCCAGCCCCTGCACAGGGCAAGATTGGCCACATGAAGGGCGCTGTTGGTCAATTCTGGCTGCCCGAGATTCTTGGAAGCAGCCCGAGGTTGGAGCAAGACAACGAGATCGCCAGATCGTTGCACGCTGCCATGCGGGTTAGTGGCCGTTTGCCATACGTTTTGTCCCCGAGTTTGAGTGGCTGACATTTTACCACAGGCTTGCTTTCCCCACGACGTTGAGATCTGCACTGGCCGCAGCCAGCCTCACTGCGTCCACCATGCCTTCGTTCTGCAGCAAGACTCGTCCCACACTTTGTATGGAATTTGTCTTCGCGTATGGTCGCGAGCCGACGAGAAGAGGGCCGAGACAATTCGGGATCTGCGCAAAAGAACTGAACCAGACTATTACGACAACCCCGATGAGACTTACTGGATTCCCTACTGCTTGTCATTCCTGTCTCGGTACCCGCTGTACAACCTTCTTGGAGACTACTTGCGAGGCATGTGGATCCACTGGAACAAGGCTACCAACTTGTTCCATGCCGAGGAGGTCTCGCGCATTCTCAGCTTCCCGGCTCCGAGACTCAATGACTTGGTTCGCATCGACATGAAAGATTATGCTCTTTGCTACCAATTCCCATCGTCGCCTACTGGCTTCCAGAACTTCGCCATGTGGCCACTATTCTGCTGCCTGTCCATTCCCAACATTGTGGGTGTCGTTGAGGCCGCTATTTCACCAACTCGTCGCATCATCTTTGTCAGTCATTACCCGGCCATGCTCACCATGGCTGCAGAGACTGTCAGATACTGCGTTCGAGTCTACGAATGGAGTGGCCTCTATGTCCCGGTTGTGCATGCTCGTCATGCCAAGGATTTAGTCCAGGAGCCCGGTCCATACATCCTCGGTGTCACGGCCGAGTGCCGCTCTTTGTTCACCGCGCCAACGGATGCGCTGGTTGTCGACCTCGACCGCAACTTCGTTCTTACTTCGAGCCCCCCGACCGCACTCAACCCCAGCCAGCGTAACAAGTTCGTCACCCGCCTGACACAGTCTCTCAACGGAGATGTGACTCCCTCCGGCGTTCCCCCTCATCTTCGCTCCGCCTACGGTGGCGGAAAGCTCGTCCCCGCCGGCCAGATCATTGTTATGCGTGGAGAAGTGGAGTCCATCCAAGATCCCGAATGGTGGAACCAGGACACCGTTATGGCCGTCATGGATCATGTCTGCGAGAAGATGGGCCGCAACACGGGCATCAAGGCTGTCTTTGGTGGCTCCGTCAAGAAGCCCTTGATGACCAAGGTCTCAATGAGACATCTCAACGAAATTGTCCGCGAGAGAAACCAGTACTCCCGTGATGCTCTCGAGGCTTGGCAGGACTTCATCAACCTGAAGGGCCGCATGGATACCGAGCTCAACAAGGTCACAAAACGCAACAACTACCTCAATGAGGAGCTGGAGAGCTGGAAGCAGCAGTTCCTCAAGTTCCAGGCATTTGCTGAACAGCTCACCAAGGAGACCCAGGATCTCAAGGCCAAGATCGAAACACACAAGAGAGAGAACAGACGCCTTGCAGGTCTCATTGATCAGCAGAAGGATGACAACGGTCGTCTCAATGTCCGTCTCGGTGCTACTGAGAAGCAGCGTGATGACGCTCTCGAAGCATTGGTCCTCCAGCAGGAGATCGCCGAGGAACTCGAGCGCGAGCGTAAGCGCAACAAGAAGGAGCTTGCTGCTCTTCAGCACACCAACGTCACCATCCTCAGACAGCGTGACGAGGCTCGTCGTGTTGTGCTGCATCTGCGCAGCTTGATCGGCGGCCAGAGCCATCACATGGAGCATCTGGTGCAATCTTTGACCAAGCCCGATGACTTGGCGCACGAAATTGAGGAAGGCTTCGAGCCAGAGATGGGTGAGGATGGCATCACTCCCAGAGAAGCCGACGTCAACCAAGCCCGCCTCCTCTCTGCTGCCGCTGAGGCGAACAAGAGGCTCTCCACTTCGAGCTTCAAGGATGTTGCCGACCGCCACCTCAAGGACAAGACTGATGCCATCGCGCACATTATCAGAAATATTGCCGAGCAATGCCAGGCTGCCGTTGAGGGCCTGCAGTTGGCCCAAGACGCCGACTTTGATGAGCGCTCTGCCAGCGCGGCTCGCCTTCGCGCCCAGCGCCGTCGCAGCAACCTCTCCGCCACCCACAGCGATGACGGTCACGAGACTCAGTCAAACGCAACATCCGACATGGGCGAAGATAGCCTCCTTCACCCTGCTTCTGGTCGGATATCCAGCATCCCCCCCACCCCGGACCTGGTTCCCAACCGGAGCAGCACAGCGATGTCCTTCGCTTCCAGCGCTGCAACTCCCGAGCGCTCAAGTCAGCAGTACATGATCCATCAGGAAATCCCTACCAAGATTGTTGAGGATGATGAGGACTTCGAGGAGGATCGCAGCGAGTCCGAGACGATGCCTCAGCAGACCGTCGGCAAGCACACCGACAGCCTGATCCACCGTCCGTCTGGAGCGCGCATCAGCGCTCTTGGCGGTACCCGCTGAAGAATTGTCTTTGGCGGTTTCGGTATACTCCATTTGGAGTAATAAGCGGCTAAGGAGAATTTACTTTCCCTCTCTTTGGTCGATGGGGATGACGATTTACCGACATTGTGCATACACCTTTTTACCTGATACCTTTTTGCACTTGTGTGGTCGTGGACAAAATTTCGTTTTGTCCGGCGTTTGCAATTTTCATATTTCTGTCTTTCTCCAGAGACGAATGTCTTGCCTTTTTTTTTTTTTCTGCCTGTGAAAGCTGAACAGGGCTCGCTGGTGTCCGGATTGGATGTTATCACGATTTTTATATCATTTGTATCCCATGGGTGGAGCCTTCTGCTTAGTTCAGTTCATGTCCCTCCTTATTATCTAGTACCCACAATCCGAATCCAGCGAGAGTTGAAGGAAACTACCGTTTCAAGTATGAACATGTGCGTGATGTCAAAGAGTGTACTGGACTTGATTACCTAGTGATCTGACAGGTATACATTTTCCTGTGACTCAATATATATCACGACCTAATTCCAAAGCCGAAGGGCGTGGGTGTCTTTCCGGGCTGAAGGGTACGACAGCGGCGAAATATGTGAGTTTCGATATTATCGCAATTTCAAATAAGAATGTTTAGCTCCCTCATCCTGCTGAAGCCCTCGTCTGAGTGATCCTTGGAGATATATGTCGGCTTGCACGTACTTAAAGGATCCGTCTTGCTCACATCGACCCAGACGGTATCCGGTCGCGCTACGCTGGTACTGCGATTACTAGCAACGAACTCACAATGATGTGAAACACAGAAGACCTTGGAAAGACTGACTGCGACTGATATGTCGCTTTGAAGTGCTCAGGAGACTAGTTTGATGTTATATCCACACTGATGATCTAAGTCAGAGACATTGAGGCCGTAACAGTGTGTTCGCCTAGAAGGCGTTGAAGAATGACGGATCAGATAACGGATCTTTAAAAGGCCCCTACTATTCAGCACATCAATGCGTCACATGATGTGACGGATCATTCGGAACGTGATGACTTGGGAAAATGTGATGGCGTTCACGAGTTCAGCCAACTGACTATAGTAGAGTCATGCCGATCCAGCACCGCCAAGCACCTGTACAAGCCAACTCCAATGATCACTCCCAAAAGAATAGCAAGAAAATGGCAGAGATACTGGCTATGGTCTCAGACTTATTCCGGCCCTGTCAATCAAGACTGGGCTTCGTCAGGCAACTTCACAGTTGTGCAAGTCGCGCCAACTGCTTTGGAGACATGGCAGCACTCCCATTCGACGTAAGCTGTTTCTCGCAAATACGGCCAGCTGGGACAAAAAGGGTTACTCTATAATATCTAAGTCTCAAGAGTTCTGAGTACTGGCGAACCCTGACTCTATTGAAATGTCTTGATGCAGGACATTGGGTCTTGGTGCAGCGGCGCCGGAAGATGTATTTCGCCGGCGTTGTGACGTCTAGGTAGGTGGATGCAGATTCTCCAACATCGCTAAGCTAGCGATAAGCTAGCGATAACAGAAAAAGTTCCTGGACGGAGTATGCGTACTGGGTCTCGTCGTCCTCTTCGGCATTACAAACCCGTCACGACCTTCTAGATAGCAATTGAGCTATAACTCCACACTTTCTAGTGTATTAGTTCAATTCTTGATTTCCTCTGTTATCTATTGTCCATTTCCACAACCGCAAACACGCACACGAAAGCGGCCATGGCCGACCCCCTCCTCACAAGCCTTTGCGCCATCTGCCACATCGAGCCCCCCAAATACAAGTGCCCACGATGCACCCTCCAAACCTGCTCCCTGACCTGCACGAAGCGCCACAAGTCCTGGTCCCAGTGTAACGGCATCCGCGACGCGACGGCCTACATCCCGCCCTCGAAGCTAAAGACCGCCGCGGGCGTCGACCACGACTTCAACTTTCTTTCGGGCATCGAGCGCGCCGTCCAGCGCTCCGAAAAGGAGATCGTCGAGGAGCGGCACCTCCTGAAACCCGAGGACCTGCGGCCGGTCGAGGTGCGCAGCGTGCAATGGAAGACGGGCCGCGATGGGCGCAAGAAGAGAGTCATGGTCACCGAGGTCCTGCGGGGGGATAGCGGCCCAGGAGGCGCGCGGTATGAGGCGCTCTCCAGCATACCCTTTAAGAAGAGGTTGGCTACGTTTGGGATCCTGCTGAAGCGTGCGCCGGTGGGAATGGTCAGACAGAAGGAGAACGGGACCAACTTCAGCAAAGCCTCTGGCAGAATCAATTGGCAGGTTGAATGGCTTCTCACTTCGTCCACAGACACAAAGGCACCATCACAACAGCAGAAGAGCGTGGGGAACACCAGTACAGCAACGACAAAGAGGGTACTAGCCAAGGCGCTTGACGACATGCCGCTCTACAAGGCCTTCGTCACGGGGCAGAAATCGTTCCACGACGAGCAGGCCAGAAAGGAACAGCAACGCCAGCAGCCACCAGACGACGACGACGACGAGACTCAGGAAGCCAATATTCAAATCGGCGGCCCCGGCCGAAACAAGAAGCGCCGCAAGAACCAACACAAACCAGGCCAGTCCATCGCCACGGCCCAAGACACGGAGACGGGAGCCTGGCACCCCGGCCGATTCTTCATGCAGTCCACTCCGCGCAGTACCTGGGCTTCTCACACCGGCGTCCAGCCATTCACGGGCACAACGGAGGAGGAAGAGGCGCAAAAGACGAGGTACAGGTTCTACGTCGCGGGTACGACCTCCTTGGCGACGGCAGCCACTGGCAAGACGGTCGTCCACCCCGTAGAGGCAACGACGCCCCTCGGCGAGGCCCTGCGCGACATGACGGTGCCGGAGTTCCCTACAATCTACGTAGTTGAAGCTGGAGCGGGCCTACCGGCGACCTTACTGCCGGAACCGAAGCCGATGCGCCTCATTCCCAAACGGAAGCACGAGAGCAACGGTAGAAGGGCAGACGGCGGCGGCGGCAAGGCCAAGAGACCTCGCAAGAACCTGGAAGATGGCGAGCTGCCGAGTGACGGGGACGACAGTGGTGGTGATCTTGCCGACGCCGACGTTGATAGGTTCGCGGCCGCCATCGACCAGATCATTGCCGAGCAAAGTCTGGGCGAGGAAGAAGACGACAGCACGACGAGTAGCTCCGGCTCATCGGATTCGGAGAGCGACGAAGGGGTCAGCGCCAGCCTCGCTGCCAAGTTGGCACTGTTGAAGAAGAGAGCGGCGTGAGATGGACCATTGTACAATATCACCTTATACGTAGAAGACCATGATACCCTCAAGGCCCTGCATACGGCCTTTGTATATCAATGACGTGCAACAAACAATATACTTGCGGCACTATTAAATACTGTTCCCATGGTATAAGCATAAATATTTTGGGAAGACGTGACAGACTTCTGCAGGGGGGAGGGGGGGGATCCTTGATTTCCCAGAGATATCATAGTATGGATCGCGACATCGTAAACATCAAGTCACTATAGCCAGGCGTAACCAATATCACGAAGGCGCCATGCATCATCACTTGTTGATTTCAACAGAATGGCGGAAAAATGTGTTACTACTTTTGGACAGACGTTGCCCCCAACTACCTCACCACCACCATTTTACGGCCAAATGCCTACGATGTGCCTATGATGGCCACCAAAACCACATTGGATATCAGTCCGTCAAGTCATTACGTCCCTTGTGTAAAGCCATTTGTATCATCAAACCATTGTTAATTGCCGTCCGAAAATCGACAGCCCAGAACTCGTTGTGCCTGATTGACCCTCCAGAAAAATTCCGAATCGTCCTTGTTCCACACCTCATCTTCCCTGTCCATTTCACTAAAATGAGCCCGTCACAACCGTGTCGTGTCAAGTCGAAATTGGTAGAAGGCGAGGATGAATCCGGATGTCGAAACCAAGATTATGGGTCCAGACGGGTATTTACCGCAACTTAGAAAAGCAAGTACATCGTCATCTGAGCGAAAGGCGCTTAGATGAACATGGCGGCAAAGCCAGCGGCAGCCAGGAAGCCGGCAACCGGGACAGCAGTCTGCTTGGCCTAGAGAAAGATGTTAGTTTTGTGTGTAGAGTAAGGTAGACAGGTAGTCAGGAACTTACAAGGCCGCTGGAGCTGGAGCTGGCAGCGGTGCCAGTGGCAGAACCGGAAGCAGAGCCAGAGGAGCCGCCAGTGGTGGTGGTGGCACCAGTAGCCTCGCTAGCCTGGCTGGAGAGAGCGCTGGAAGCCTCGCCTCCAGTGAGGGAGGAAAGGACAGTGGTCGAGCCGATGGTGGAGGTGATGACACTGCCATCAGAGGTGATGGTGCTAACAATAGGCTCGGTAGTGACAGCGGTCTGGGGAAGGGAGGTGGCACCGGGGACACCGCCAACACCGAAGAGGGTGGTCTCGCCAGTGGAAGTGATGGTGGACTCGCCGCTGGTAATGACAGTGGTGAAGGTGGATGTGGAAACCGGGCTAGGGGTCGCAGACTCGCCGCCACCAGAGGCAGCACCGGTGAGGGTGGTAACACCAAGGAGAGTGGTGAGAGTGCTGCCACCAGAGGTGATCTCAGAGAAGATCGAGGAAACGACCGGAACAGCGGTGGCAGTAACGGTGCCAGTAGGCTGAGTGACAGTGGCACCAGGGATGACGGTGACAACGACACCGGCCTCTGATATAGTTGTTAGTGGGTTCACATCAAGCTTGACATTGCCGGGAAGAGCAGAACTTACGGCGGCAGAGCTCAATACCAGAGGCGACAGCGGCCTCAGCGTCAGAAGACTGAGCGCAGCTCTGGAAAGAGCAGTCGCGAATGCCATAGGCGAAGTTGGGGTTGCGGCAGAGGCAGGCGTTGTCGCCAGCGGTGCAGCCCAGGTCAGAGGCGAGACCCTGCATGGCGGAGATACAGCCAGTCTGTTGATCGAGTTAGAATCACGTATGCTTCAAGACGGTGAAGAATGAGCATCTGAGAATGGAAAGTCCATGTGACTGGATTATCCATGTTCACAGCTGAGGGAGGAAATTTACTTACGCCACAGGCGCCCTGAGCCATGGCACCAGAAAGAAGGCCAGCACCGAGGATGATGGAAGACTTCATTGTGAATGATTGTTGATGGGTTCTGTAAGACTGAAGAGTGAGTCGTTTGCGAGAACAAAGTCGGCAATGAAGGACCTGGAGGTGGAATATTAGCAGAGCTCGGATTTTCGCAATCGAACCAGAACAAAAATAAGATAACCGTGAGGAGAGGTAATCCGCAAAAGCAGTCAATGAACAAAATTACCTGGCGACAAAGAGCGTGCGTGGGCTTGGAAAGAAAGGCTAAAAGATTGTTTGCGATGGTGAAGAACGAAAAAGGTGGTGTGGTGAAGAGGGAGGAGAGACAACTTTGTGGGTGGGTGGAAGGGGAAAAGGAAGGCCACGAGACGGTGAGCGGCAGGTGGTGAAGGAAATGAGTGTTACGCAAATTTGGGAAGCTGCGCCTGGGGGAAGGTGTGGTGTAACTGGGGAAAGACCGAGGCAGGTCCAAGGTCGCACAAGACGAGTAAACAAACTGACAGTGAAATGTTGATGTTCCGTTTTTCGTGTACTTGAAGAACTGAACAGGCAAAGGTGGAAATCTGAAGCAAGCAGCTTGTGGCAGGGGAGTAGGAGAAAGTGAAGCCAGCGCAAAAAGAAGAAAATGAAGACTCGTGATATCAGAGATATCGGGGATATATCAACTTACCTACGATTGATATTGATGTCAAGGTTGTCGAGGCTGTTGGAAGCGTGCTTGTGAGTATTTCGCAGTGGTGGAGCGAAAGTGTGTGATTGTGTGAGTTGACGATGGAAGAGTGTTGGTGGAGAGAAGTTTGTTGTTACTCGAGGTGAGGCGAGCTGAGGTGAGGTGTCTCGGTGGATGGGCTGGGGGAGATATTATTCGAGAGTGCCGTAGGTAGGTAAACAATTGGAATGTCACGTGGAGCGCTGAGTATTAGAGTAGAGTACCTTAATTGAAGGACAGAGGGCAGGAACGCGGAAGGTAAAGGGAGTGCCTTCCCGTTTATAAGTCAATCGGGAGAAGAAGGTGCGGGATGGCAGTTGGGCACGACGTACGAACCCGGTGCCGTGCCTTCCTACCTTACCTAAGGTACGAATACTTGGCTACGTCGCTACCTACCTTACCCTGTAGACCTGAATTCATGGGCAGGCCTTATTTCCTAGCCACCACCTATTCGATTTTCGAACCATTGGACAAGGTACCTTAACTTGGCCTGGCCGACGGGAACCCGGCCTTAGCATGCAGAGCATCTGCGGTGAACTGCGAGGTGGGCTTTCCCGTCGATCAACGTTGGATTGTTTGATACCCGGATTTTTGGAGAACCATGTCATTTCGGCTGCCCCAACTTTAGTCGGCTTTGCCTCTCACGCTTGTCCTGACGTTGACATGCCGCTAGCCAGCAAATGAGAAGCCACCCGGAGCTAAGATGGTCAAGTCGATGTGGGTATCTGATGTGGAATTCATCTATCTTCCAGGTTAGTACTGCAGCAAAAGTGGCGCCAGGTTGGTGTTCGAAGCTCAAGCTCGGCCCCAAGCAATGGAAGCTCTCTCGTTGCTCCACGCCCGTCGCCGGCAACTCCAGCACCAAAAGTCAACACAAGAAAAAACCCTGCTTGGATCCTAAGCCACAAACCCAAAGCTGCATCTTGATCCTCTTGGGCTTACCGAGACCCGAAAGTTGTCGGCCCGGTGGCTGGAATCTCAGCTAAGACCGACCACGCTTGCATGCTCTTGTCAGGAGGCAAGCTGAATTCTCTTTGTGAACAGCGAGTCGCGCGCAAACAGCCTGAAGAGTGAAATTGGCTCCCGGCAAAGTGCCCCTCGAGTAAATTGTAATATCCCAAGAGACCAATCTTGGGGGCCAGCGCGGGCTAGATCTCGCAACGAGATGAGAGATGCGACCTACTTTCGGGGTTGAAATGCGATGTTAACCAGGATATGCTTGATGTAACCCTCCTGCCGCCTGCAAGCGTCTACGAATACAGAGTCCGTACCTCACCTCCCCTCAGTCGGGAGATTTAACCCCCGTCCCAAGCTCTCAGGTTCCAGTAAGTAAAGAAACGACCTAGTGCCATGTGGTATCGTTCGACCTGAGCTCTGACGCACCTTTGACTCCATCCCTTCCGCTGCAACGCTGTCAAACACTGCCAAACTAAGGCAAGAAGGCTGGGGGACGTGCGAACCTGCAGGCTAAGGCAACGGATGCGATGTCAAGAAAAAAAAAAAACACCTTCCCGTTGGAACCGTGCCCAGCAACCAGAACCTCTATCTACATCACCACAGTATGGGTCCATGGATGATGGGAGGCTCTACCGCTACCTCTTTCCTTATCGGAAGCCTGGGTTCACAATTCAAGCGAACTGCGAGACATGGGAAGGGGGTTTGTTTGCTGAATTCGAACCCTGCCTCCCAAGATACCCATGCCAACCTGCTTTTTGCAGCACTAACGAGGCAGGAGGCAAGGTCTGTTTCTCAATGCGACAATCAAGCTTCTGGGGCCAGAAATGAGGAACAGGAAACAGGGACTCGGGGTGGAAAGCTCGAAACAAACTCCGGGGCCCCCATAAGCGAGGAAGCTGGGAGGTAGCCGGAGAAGCTCGCATCTACCTCACTGTAAGGTACAGTACGGATACATGTGCGACGCGCAAGCAATCGTAGTCTGCATCTGCCACGTGAAGCTGACTTCGGTCATCTTGCATCATGATGGCCTTGATTTGGGAGGAGTACACCGCCCGACGCTTGGCCTCTCGTCATGCTAGAAAGAGGCAGCCGGAAGTCGGCAGCATGATAGCTTCTACATTGACCGTTAGTGACGAAGGTTGACAGCAGAAGAAAAATCATCGTGGGCAGACAGATCCCGCCGGGCCATTAGTGACTGACGGGGGGAGTTGCAGTCACTCACGGCTGGAAACAAGGAAAAAAAAAGTGCTAGCTGGCAAGGTCTGGGGCGGACGTGGTTGCGTGGCTATCGCAGTACCAAGCGGGATGAGGTCAATCGAATGCACGTCGACGCGTCCGATTCGCCAATGACCCCCGGGAGCCCTCTGTTGTGGCGCCGTGGCGCTCCACTCTGTGTACTCGGATATTTGATTGGGCAGGTTCGGCAAAAAGGGAAAGGACGAGGAGGGAAGGAGACAGGGGTTGAGCTTCCTACCTTATGCCTGGGGGTTCGGGGATTCAGAGTCAATTCCCACATACCAACGACTTCTCCCACACTTTCTTTCTCCATCATTCATTTGTTCATGCTTTTGCGCCGGATGCCACGAGACACTCAATTGCTTCCCTTTTGTGCCAGAACTCATCGTGAACTAAACTATAGCTCATAGAGCGTGTTGCTGTTTTCCTCTGACAATGACAAGAATTGTCTCGTCTGACGTTGGAGCGCATATTGAACTCCCAAAGCAAGCTCTTCTGCCAACGAAAACGACCAACATGTCTATTGTCATGGTGACCGCCAGCTTCCACACTTTGCACCACACTACCTCTCAATAGAGCGTCGGCGGCGTGGTGGGACCTGGAGATCAGTACCCTTCTACGCAGTAGCCTCGAGACCAGCTCTGCATCGCTCTGCATCGCCCTTTCAGCGTCGGCACACCCGTCAGGTCCCCGTCCCACCAACACCGCCATTCGCTTCCCCAACGTTACGCTCCCGCCCTGGCCCACGCCAGGGGCTGGTCGTTGCCAAGGCCCTTGGGCGAATCTTGTCGGCACTGGACCCATCCCTCAGCTTGCCAAGGGTTGGTCCCGCATCCAGAGGCAGCCCCCCTTACTCGATGAGCTTTTTCCAACTTTCCACGCTAGGCCACCCACGGGCCACAGTACTTGACCTTGAGGAGAGAAACAAGCAAATCTCTGCTTCTAGCCAACCGCTGCGGGGAGGGGAGGTCGCGTCGAGAGACAGGACGGGGGTAGCAATCTCGTGGTAGACGTTCCGAGACATTAGAGATGAAGCACCAAGATTTCACGCTGGTCTGCGCGCATCGCAATCAGATTAGGTCGACCAAGGATGCGTTGAGAGCTTGAGATCGGTCAACCGGAAAGTCGGCCCTCAAGGTTGAACACGTCCTTGTCGCGCTATTGCTGGACCGGCCGCTTTCTGGAGCCACGATGAGAAAAGCTTCTGACGTATTACTCTTCGATGGCCGATCCACAAAATACCTTATCGCCGCGACTCACCTGACGACGGCCCGAACAGTCGAACTACACCAGCCACCCACTTGACGGACTCTCAAAGAGGCGTCACGGCCTCGCCCGGTGATCTTGACCGAGTGTCCTTCTCGATCTATCAGAAAAAAGTCAGTGCCTTTTGCAGATCCTGCGTATCGGTGCTGGAAATCGCAATTGGATTCCATCAAAGCCCCTGTCATCCGGACTTTGCTCTCCTGGAAGCGAATGTGCAACGCGGAACAAGAGAACGTGACATCCCTGCCGACTCGTGAACCACTGACAATCCATGCAGTGATCGGTGCGTTCCCCCTCAAATGCCTGCCTCGCGAAACGCGTACCATCCGTGCCCTTCCATCCAAACACCTCCTCGAATATATAGGTCTTCAATCACCAGGTCACCTACATAGGCAGACAGCCGCCCCCGCCCCTTTCTCGTGTCATGTAGAAGGGCGTGAACGTTGTGTTGTCCGTCGAGTGGCATGACGCGGGTAGCCGAGAATAGTGTGAAACAAACAAGAAATAGCAAAACTGCGACGCCGCCAAGAGCAGCACCACGGTGCCGTGAGGGCAAATATCACGAGAATTGCAACATGGCCAAGGTCCGAGATTCTCAGCCGATGGCCGTAGGAATTGCCGCTTGTTTTCTGGCACACGTGTGCATCTGCTGCTGTGTAGGTAGTTGAGAAGAGAGGGCCAGTCTACTTGTGAGAACTGTTGACATTGTCGGACATTTGTGGAAGGGCCGAAGACTTTCTCTGGTGTTTTCACAAGAAAGACCATTGCAATGGGAATAGCAATGATCAATTCCCCATCAACTCGTCACTCTGCCTTCATCATTGTCCCCAGTAGAGTATATACATTCGGCAAAGGATCGACGAGATGAATGGTCTCAGTCCGAGAAAGAAAGAAAAACACAATGCGCGACTCCGCGAACGAATCAGTGTCCGCCCATCTGTCTTCGACCCATTCCATCGGGCCGCGTATGTGTGTGGATGAATAACCAATTCGACTGGAAGCACAATAGCGATGGACCGTCATTACGGTATCATCACTCTTGTGACGAGCAAAAGCCGTTTGTTCGCTTCGATTGATGCCTACACGATCCGCACCCATGCGACCCGTCCTTGCGGCCACGACCTTCATCTCGTCAACTTCCAATGACCATTTGATTACATGGGACCAACGTGTACACGTACGCATACATGTGTAAGTGTAAGTGTAAGAGTAAGAGTAAGAGAGAGAATGTGTGTGGCAGCCTTGCACAGCTGAGAGGCCAGACACACGGCTGATGTTGTCATGATCGGCTCCGGCATGTTTTCCCCGCGCGCATGCGTTTGTCTGAGCTCAGGTAGCACAACGTATAGGAACCCGACGTACAAGACGGAACTTGTCATTTGCGGGAGGGAAAGTTCTGGTCCGGCCAATGTCAGCTCATATTGTCTGTCTTATTATACATTGCGGGGGTATAGGCCGCCTTCTACTGATCGGGAATGGGCCAAGCTTTGGGGGAACGCCGAATCAATTGTTGAGTGCGAATTCACTAGATTGCAGGTTCGCAAGTCGCGTAGCTGACGAGTATGAGTAACAATTATACTACTGCTGAAAGGACTTGTGACCAAACCAAGTTTTCTTCCCAACGCCGTGATCTGTGTGCAACAGTCAAAATCCTAGCATCGGAACCGTCGAGCCCTCTGGGCCGCGGAAGAGCATCTAAAGACCAGAACCTCTCGTAGGCAGCCCATACGAGAAAGCAGAAAGGGTAGCCTTGCCCAGCGCGTTGTACGACAAAACAAATACAAATGGGGTGTCAATGACCAATACCACCCATGAGCCCGAAACATAAAACTATTACCAACGTGATCCCATACTAAAATGCCCCGAACCCCATAATATGCCATCAACGTGTGTCATCAGCCGTCAAATCCATCACTA